TACATGTAACTTGGTTTTCTCATAATCTTTGAAAAGGTCAGTAAGATATGTTTTATAATTGGTGGGAAAGTTGATTGATAGCTGGCTTGATTATAGAAAATGAAAGGTGGTTGTTAAAGGGGCATATTTTCCTCTGGTAGAATTTTACTGATAAGGTAAGACATGTTTTGGGACTTTAATGTTAATTATTCATAGGGTAGGAGTCATTTTCAGTTTATAAAGTTTTATTTATCTAACACTGTAACAGAGTGGTTGGGTTTTGGAATGAGTTGCCTTCAGATGTGGTGGATGCAGTAAATTTAAAGGATCAGGGCTGGATTGTTTTGTGTTTTTTCTAAGTGAAAGGGACAGCTTCATTGAAACAACAGACCTATTGTTGTCCTTAAATAGTACAAGTTGTTGGATAAAAGTCAGTGATGATACTAAGATTTTTGGAAAGGCTGACAGTGTAGAGAATGTTTCTTTGCTTTAGGAAAATTAAAACTTAAAGAATGGTTTTCAAGTTTGAGAAGTGTAAAGCGATGCACTTGAAGTATAGAATGTATGAAAACACATAAATGTATAATTCATTCAGATTCTTAAGTCACAAGTTATAGATCAATATAATTTTCATAATATCCTCTGTATTACTCTAGACATATTCAAAAGATGAATGTCAGAAACAAACACAGAAATGAGCTATCATTTCCAAGTTTATATCTTGAGATTGTTATCTCATTCCCAATATGAAAATACTAACTTCCCAATTTTAAGTTTTATTTCTCTAATCATATACTGTAAAGTGACATTCGGATATTTTATCTTTAATTTGCATAACTTGTATAATTATGTACAAAAAAAATCACTTCAAACTGTATCTATTTTCTTAATGAACCCAGTTCGTCTTAAAATTTCTCAATAGTAATGTTTTTTTAACAAAATGCATAATTTTCAAATATTGGGTAAAACCTAGCAGTGTAAAAATAGAAACTTGAAGTTGTAGATTTTTGATATTGTGTGAAATGATTTAAACTCGTAAATGTAACGGTACTGTATTATGATAAGTAGGCCTACATTATTCACATATTATGAAATTATGTATTTGTTTCTTGGGGTTTCTCATGTATATAATAAAACTCTTTGAATGGCTGTAATCAAATACTGTATGATAGTGAAGATATCTGGCAATGCTGGACATTAGTATGATAATATAAACGGAGGTTTGGGCTGCCCCTCTCCACAGTTTTGAGCCAATGAACATGAACTATTCATCCAATGCAGAAGTACCATGTATTTGTTATGCATCACTTGCATTTGGTGTTGACTTCACGTATATTGTTACCAACCTTCTCATTCAGTTCAACCTTCTTTTGCTCCATTAAGACAGTGAAGCTTAAATGGCTGCCAAATTTTATTCATTTTTCTGATTGTCTGTCCATTTAAACTTAATTTTTGGACATCCACCTGACTTACTATACCAAATTTCTTTGAAATTAGTACAGCTAATTCTTCACAACTTCTGAGATTGGGCAGAGAGGTGGACAACTTTGCTTTCTATATAAAGAGATACTTTTTTTTACATGAAGTCTTGAAGGTTGTCATTTCTTATTTAAAAATTCTAGAACTATCTAAAAACATTTTTCTTGAACTTTCAAGATCTTTCTGGGATTGTCAGATTTTACTGTTATGACTAAAGTTATTCTTATAAAGATCATGTCAACTTTATGAAAGCATAATGAAAATTGTATCCATGATCTCTTTCCATCAGTGACTCAGTATACACTAATGGTATTGTTTGTAAACTTCTAGTACATAATAATTGATATGTTTTGGATTTGCATTGTTTATTTCATTAAAATTTATTTTTTAAAAATCATAAGTATCTTGTACACAAAGAATGACATTATTTTAATTGAATCTTTCTACTAAAAATATGTTGTCTATTTATTGTAGTTATTTTCACTCAGACTCTGAATAGTTTGAATACAAGGTGATTTTAATTTTAAATATAAAATACTTTTCTTTATCTTACAATTTTTGAGTTTTATTTGTGTAACCTGTAGAACTTCCTAAATGAATACTAAAAGTTTTTTAAGGTAAACGTTCATATTTTATTTTTCATTTTCTCTACCATATCTCTAACTGTATATATTGTCATCAATATACAGTGCAATGAAATCTTTAAAATTAAGAAATAGAAAAATGTCCATTCTTTTAATTTTTTGGAGAATATCTTAAAAGATTTTTCAGATTTTTTCTTTTTACATATACTTGATTTTTAATGTTTTATTTTCCTTTTCTGTCCTTTACCATTTACTATTCTAATTAACACAAGGGAGTATTACAGTATCTTCTGGAGAGATGCGCAAACCTTTGGTAAAATTATCTTGCACTCATGCAAGATCATAAGCCTTGGAAACTGTTTAAATCTTTCAATTATACATTTTAAAACATAAATAATACATAATTAACTGAGATATAAAAGTATTAAGTCATCAAGAAATTAATGTCACGTTTTGGAACACATACATCCTATATAATAGTTAAACGAACTGCCTAAATATCACGTTAGTGCATCCTATATAATGTGTAAAGTTTGGTATACTCTAATCCCTTATAGTGATGGCGCACGATGCAACACACATTTGGCATGTAATGCTGTTTGAATACAAGAAGGGAAACAATACCTCTGTAGCCACAAAAAATATCAAAGACGTTTATGGAAAGGTTTTGAATGTTCGTAAGTGTCAACGAGGGTTCAACAAGTTTCTTTCAGTTGACTTTAGCCTTAAAAACTGTGACGGCAGGGGCCAACATGTTGGAATTGATATTGATGCTCTGAAGATGCTTGTTGAGTCTAACCCGAGGCAACACACTCTTGAAACGGCCCTGAAATTGCATGTCTCTCACAAAACAATACATAAACATCTAAGGAATATGGGAAAAGTCCCAAAAGAAGGTGTTTGGGTGCCTCACAAACTCTCCGATGATCATCGTTTTCAACATGTGAATGCTGCTTCATCTCTTCTGGCACATAATGCACATGAACCATTTTTGCACAGAATTGTCACTGGTGATGAAAAGTGGATTCTCTATGTGAATATTAAATGCCAAAAAC